ACTTCCCCCATGCGCGCAGATAGCTTTCACACACGCGCCGCCAGCCGAAGCTAAAATATGACCTGGTTCTTGTCTTTCGTTGATGCTATTTCAGAACGTAAACATTCACAAACCCGGTGGTGTGAGTATATAGGTCTGGGATGGATTCACGTCGGGAAAGCCTTGAATATGCAACCAAATAAACAGAAAATACATAATGAATTCTTTATAGTTTTAGTTGTTTATACAAGGGTTTTCAAAAGTATCAAAGCCCAAACACTGAACAGATCAATATTGAAACTAGACACTCATTTGAACAAGTATTGACACTGAAAAACTCATATCATATCACACGGTATTGGCAAAAGAAACTAAGTTGTTGTGCATAATAGTGAAGAGTTCTGTTTGCAATTGACTAATAATTGTGCCTGGACTGAAATGTACTGATCTAAAATGTTTTGAAGTAACTATCGGTGTTGATGTTTTGTCTGGAAAAGGGAAAAAAGGAGGCAAATAACATAAGATGACTCTTCTTTCTGCTCCTTTTCATTCATTTCTTGTGTGTTTAACGTTGTGACAGTTATGAAAGAAATAAATAAACACATAAATACATTATAAATATTGTGACACAACATAATTTGTGGTGCAATATGTAACTTTCTGGACTTGCATGATTTCACGGAAACAGAAACTTAAAACCATACTTCAAAACATCTCAATATGTTTTATGCTGTGTGAAAGATTATTAGCGATTCTGGTGCGACCTAGTGCCTCCGCTCAATTTCATTTGTCTCCACCGACTAGGTCAGGAATCAGAATACACTAGACGGTTTGCAAGAACCCCAAAAAGTGCGAGTTCGGGCACCAGCCAATCAGCGAAGAGCCATACATTTGTGTAGGCAACGATTCCCGAGATCAAGGATTTAAAGCCGGAACAAAGAGAATGTTTGGTGAATTTTATCAAGGGAAAAGACATTATTGCCCTTCTTCCTATGGGATTTAGGAAAAGCTTAATATACCAGTTAGCCCCGTTTGTGGTGCATTACATACGTCATGACCAAATAGCAGCGATTGGTTAAATAAAAAAGTACCCGCCTACTGTCGAGCGAACGACTCCTAATGCTGCAAGATCAGACGGTTTCTACAAAGTGAAACCAGCCGATGAATCATGCAAAAAAGATTATAGCGAAAGACACAACATTTCTATGGAATCAGATAAGAGTCGCATTTATGTAGATGCAAGCCTGCTCATATTAACAACAGGAGCTTTCAGTTTTATGCTTTTATACTTTGCATTGAGGCTTTTATATAATATTAAACATGGTATGTGACAATACAGTTCACAACACACTGAACAAATATTCCTCACTTAAAATCGTCTTTACATAAATAATGCAGAAATGATTCTATATGGTGATCTGTAATGGTTGACAGGGGGTCCTTGAGATTTTTCTTTCAACACTTTCAACATGATTCTAACATTTGTAGAATCAGTATCAGTATCAAAATGGTACACTACTTCATTTGCTGAAACTTTCAACGAGGTCTTACCATAACAATAGGCCTATTTAGTAACGAATAAACATTAAAATAAAAATAACAATTCATCATTTTTGTGTCAGACTAGTCATCAATTAAGTCTCCTTTTCTCAGATGAACAGAATGAGTCTAAAAAAAGACCTTTCAGGGACATTTGTGGTAAAGTGCAATTACGTTTGGTCTGTGTCCAGTCCATAAATATGCTGTTATTCATCGTCATTTCTTATAAATATAAAAGGTCCGAGCAGAGCTTTTTCTCAGAACACTTTGCGTTTCGAGGAAATCTTATTTTTCTACAAATCTTTGCTTTTCAAATTTCCGTGGCTCTTAAAATTCAAAGTGAAAAAAAAGTTGTTATTGGGCTTTTTCAGCAAGAATTCCAAAAACATAATATTTGACCATTAAATTTTAAGAGCTCTTTTATACAAAATACAATACAAAGAAATTCTTGCAAAGCTGTTTCTGGACATCCAATTATCAAAGCGGCGAAGTTGTTTTTGTCCAGAAGTTTTGGAAATGTGACGTCAGTATGGTCTACACATCTCATAGTTTCCCAATGACAGCGAGCACTTTTCAGTTTCATATTGTTTTCCGTTGTAATCTCAATTTTAGATAATATCCATGTTTTATTTTGTATATTTTCATGGCCTATTCCTGCCAATCCGTAACTACATTTAAAGCCACAGTATGTAACTTTTAGCCAAAAAAATAGAGTACAATTAAAGCATTTTTTTGTCATTTTTGTTGTTTTGTTGCATTGAAAAACATACAAAAACATGTGTCGTTTCTGTGAGCGAGATAGCGTTTCCTTTTTTTCGGGTGGGGACAGGGCCTCTTCCTGCTCGTTTCCATGGAAATTTTGGCTATAATATTCCCAAGTATGACATAAAACTGATCTACCTCCACGGAGAATGTTCCAAAGTATGGTTTTAACGTTTTATTTCCATCGAATCGTGCACAGGTGACATGACACTAGGGCTGGGTATCATTAAGAAGTTGCCGATACGATACATACCTCGATACATAGGCCACGATACGATACAGTGAACTTTCGATTCGATACGATATATTTCAAATCGTTTCGATGCAGTTCAATAAAAAATAAAGGCTAAATCATGGCTGTGACACTAAAAGTCTTTGTTAAACCACTTCCTGTGCAAAGTTCACATGAAACACACGGATTTTACTCATCAAAACAGTGAAAATGTCAAATGTGGTGCATAAACAAGTTTTTTTCCTCTAAACAAGCAAAAAAACTGTAGCACTGTAACAAAATAATTGAGTAAAATACACCAAAATATACTCTAGGTGATATATCGATGCAGCAGCCTCAATATCGATACTGTATCATCACATTAAACTGTACAATATATCGATATTTTGATATTTTTGCACACCCCTACATGACACCAAAATGTTACATACTGTACCTCTTTCATTTGACGTACGTTTACAAAGAATTCATCTCTATTTTAGCAGCAAGTTCACCACAATATATTCCGCTCAGTTGCTCTGTTATATCTGGGTGAAAGCAAAAAGGTGCATGAATAATTGATAGATCCATTTCCAGTATTTTGAATCCAAACTTTCCATTGTTGATTTGGGCATAGCCGTAATTGAATAAACCAGTGCATTGTTGATATCACGATCACGCCACGTGAAAAAAATGAAAATATGTGAACTTTGCCCTATCTACAGTCAGGATGTCCAAGTACACAAATGAGATCACGTTATACAGTTTATGAGGACCTTAATAAAGCATGCACAGAGACTTAATTCATAATGAGCAAATACTTGATTAAGATAATTCAGGTTTAGTAATGCTATTAATTAAGATACTATAAGCCTGACTCATTCTTAAAGGGTCCATATTACACTATTTTCTAATCACAAACATACCTGGAGTTGTGTTTTGTTTCATTCACACAACACACAAACCCTCCAAACATCTTTTCTAGAAACATTTGGTTCCTCTTAGGCCTGGAAGTGCTTGAAATCTACCTAATTATGACATCACAAGGTGGAACAGAGCATTTTGAGCTTTGGAGATGTAGAGAGGATTTCTTAAACATGCGTGAATGAAACAAAATACAACTCCAGGTATGTTTTTGAGGAGGAAACAACGTTCTAACATGACTTAAAGCTCCCAAGAGTCAATTTTTGTGCAATACAGGAGCTTTAAAAACTATTTCTTCAGTATGAATCAAGTTTCGGTTCATTCTTTATTCATTTTATTTGCAACTGACTAAGCACAAAGCGAAAATGAAATGCCCTTTTTGAAATCTACAGTAAAAATCTGTTATCCAATCCTCGTGCTACTGTATCAACCAATTACATAGTGGTCATTCTGAACAGTCTTTTTATTAGCCCGGTCCACTTCCTGGTCTTACTCATCTTTCTTGCACCCTTCTTCCACCCTGTATCTGCTTCCAATAGCCCCTCCAAAAGAGTGCGCCCATAAATGATTGCAACGCTTGGGAATCTTGGTAAACAAGCCAGGCGAAGAAAGGAGAGGGGGGTAGACAGAGGGAGAGCTGCCTGCCTCAGTGCCTGCTCCATGGCTACTATTGTACACTGCACATTCTCCAAGCCCACAAGAGCTCCAACCATCTCCACATGGATTCTTTGGAGAAATACTAAGCCAAGAAGTGAGGAGAGGGAGAGAGAAGGGGGGAGAGAGAAGGAGGGAAGGAGGGAGGGAGGAGGAAGATCATGCATAAAATCTTGTTTGCAGAATGCATTAAGATTCAGATGAACTGGGGAGGGTAATGAGATTAGAATCCCGAAGCGTTTCCAAGGGTGGGGAGCAGGATTGACAGCTGAGACTATTGCACTGACGAATACAGTGAAATATTGTGGCACAGGCAGTGATCCAAACAGCGCACACATGCAAGCCCACAGCAGCGCGTGCATGTTTACTTTGTTTATAACGCTGCTATGTATGCTGCCACTAGTCCCTCCGTATAGCAGGTTGAGGCTGGCAGCAGCAAAAAGCTTTAGTCTATCTGACAAAGGTGTTTGGCAAACAAAATACACGCACTGTGGCTTTAAATCGCCGTCCCTCCCTTCGCTTTCTAAATATCGCCTATTTAGCCAGCGGTGAAAAGATATAGGGGTCTTTTGTCTGTGTGTACCCATTGGTGGGGGCATGGAGAGCCTTGGAAAGACACAAAAATAGGAACAAAGTGCTAAGCTTCCAATTGGGATGGCTCTAGGCATTTGAGTGCGCGCAGATCTGTGCGCAAAAACAAGAAGTGGACTACTATTACGGGCTTATCTGAAAATAGGCAGTTCTCACACAGCTATAGGGTGGACTGGAGTGGAAATACCCTGCATTGTTTATAATAGACAGCGCTCAGAAAGGCGAGCGCAAGCCATTTAAAAGTCTGGCATGATTCCACGGAGAAAGAGCAAGTGTGAGAGTGTGAGGGTTTTGTTTGTAACACTGTTTTTCCTGCGTTTGAGAAGCGGAGTCCACTCACCGACTTGCAATACGTTGTCCACCCAGCCACCCTCCAGTAGAGTGACACCCCGTAGGAAGGGCAGCTGGCTCTCGTCATTATTGTCCCCGCTAGTTCCACTTTCCTCTCCTCCCGCGTTAAAGGACGAGTACATACAGATCTCCTTCTCACTTCTCGGGAATGACCAGTAAACGATCCTCCGCTGGACGGGCTCCGGGATCCTCTCGAACCGCTCCTCCACCCTTTGGAACGGCCACTTCTCCGCCACTCTGCGCGCCGCGATATCGAGCAGCGACTCCGGGTTGTGCGTTTTCCCGTTGCCCGAGCTTCCCGGAGCGGAGCCCGAGCCGCCACACAGGATACCTCCAGCCCGCTGGCCCTGTCTGCATGCCGGGTTGTAGCCGGGCCGGCAGCAGAGCCGCTTGGCTGGGGGCTGCTGGACTCGCTCGGCCATGTTCGCACCGCTTCAACCTGAAGCGCAGTTCCTCTCCGATCATATAAACGGGATAAGGAAGAGAAAAGGGCAATCTCGCACCGATTGTTTGCCCTACATGGAAAAGCGGTCCTTATTTGGAGAAGGGGGCGGTCCTTTGTAGTTCCGTAAGTCCTTTGTGTTGTCAAAGTAAGCAGGAGGGGCGGGGCTTGGAGCGCCGCCAGCGCACGAGCGGCGCTATAAAAGGAAGTGGAGGCGGAATTCCCGAACGTCGGCAAATCCTTTGTGAAGCCGTGCGGGCGCGCGAGGGCGGGGCCCACGCGGCCCACGGCCTTTGAAGTTCCCTTCTTGTTTGAGTTTAAAGGCGGGGACTAATCCAGGGGCGGACTGCAGTTTCCCACAGGGGTAAGAGGGGGCAAGAGAACGCACTGTTTTCTTTTCACAGGAGCCTCCACCGCCGGCTCCAGCGTCTTCAATAACTCTGTGATGCTTGTTTTTCAGGCTTAGACCAAAGTACTGCAGGCTGCTGTCACAGAAGAGAGGGCGTGGGAGGAGAACAGCGCTGGACATGCGTGTCCTGTGTACTACTCATTAAGCACTCATTTTGGTCGCTCTTCTGCATAGGCAGCCGTCTGTATGGGAAATTAATTACAGACTTGTTTTAACACACAAAACACAAACCAAACCATAATTCTTCTCAGAAAATGCGAAGCCTACATCAGCTCTGAGAGACAGAGAGAGACAGAGAGAGACAGAGACAGATTGGCTGTACATTTTTCCAGTTGGTTACTTCACAAATACCGTATGCCAAATGCTGAGGTGCTGTGGTTTGGCTGCTGAGCGCTGACAGCCATGTTTGCCCTACATCACTGACATTTAACCTACAAACTGCAGTAGGCCAGTGGTCGAGTGAGGGTGTGGTGTGCACCTCTGGGTATTCTCAGAATTCAAGAGCATCAGTGAGAATGTTTGGTCTTTGTGTTTAAAACTAAAGCAGAAACTATTGTCCACCCTCCGTGTTTGTGTGCCCTGTGTTCAGCTCTGTGTTCACAGCTGCCCCTCTCCTTCTCCGAGCGTACGTCCAAAGACTGGCCTTTGAACTGCACTGAAAGTGATCCATGTCGTATGGACTGAGCAGATGTGAACTAACCTGATTTAGTTTCAATATTTCCCCTCAGGAAGTTCACAAAGTCAGCAGGTCCCCCCTGTGTTATTTTAGTCATCTATCTTGGAGCTCCTTCGTGTCTCAGACTTTTCATTATAACAAACACCTCTGTGGGCCTACTGTACATTATGACTGTCATCATATTCTAGAAGTAACAGTTTTGATCCAGCCCCGTGTCTATGGCATCAAAGTCTATGGTGTCAAACATCAGCAGACCATTGCCTCTGCGTTGAGGCTGATCTCTGTCTACTGTTAACTAAAGCTTAAAAACTAAATGAGCCCAATAAGCCTAAACACGGGCATTTTGATGTGAAGTAGGGCTATGCAGATAAGCATTTTTAGACCTACTGTTTGTGCTGTTTACAAGCATTATAACTCATTCATAAATCTGCCATCTGTGTCCTGCACAGTTATTGCGTGAAAAACTACATTTCCCATGTTGCCTTGCAGCAGCAGCCAGTCATGTGACTTCCGTGACAAGTCACAGAGGAGCGCACTTCCTTGAAAAGAAGCTGTTGTTTTATTGTCGTTTCAAAGAGTAAATCTGCACATTTGGTAAGCCTTCTTTATTTGAAGTTTCTCTTTCCTGTTTGAGTGTGGTTTATATGTGGATACGAGCCTCAGTGTTGTCCGTACGTCTGTTTAAAACGCCAGATGAGCAGAGTTTAGGGCCGAGGCAGTGATTGGGTGTGTTGTGGCTTGACTAGCGGTTTTAATTCGAGTTACAGAGCAGCGGCTATTTCTGTGCTCTCACTTCTCATTTTAGTCTTTTATCAGATTCACTTTTCTACAAGAAAATGGTTTTGGCCAGTGCACACAACTCCCTATCTATCTGTACTGTGTTTGTTAGCCTGTATTGCTAACAAATGCTATGCTGTCAACGTGAACCAGGCGAGGATGGTATTTTAAGACCTGCTATTTTAAATGGTTGGTTTGAATGGATCGCACAATATGGTAATTTAACATTAGTGTAAGGCATTTATATCAGTGTTATTAATATGTATTGGCCCATAAAATAATTGTTGGCAGTGATTATCAAACATTTTGAGAATACTTACTTACACAGGGCTGATAATAATATAATAACTGTTTTAACAATATGAACATTTTATAGGCAGGTATGTTGTAGTAAGAAAACTTTCAAAAACTACTTAAAGAACTGATAATACAAACAGAAAGTTGCAGTTTTATTGCCCAAACAAGGGAAAAGACACATATTAGTGCAATTCTGATGATGGATTGATTGATTCTAGTATACATTTATTTCTTGAGACAGGAATAGTGCACTATCTGTATTAACCTTAACAGGAGAGATGCATTGTACCAGGTTGTAGCACCAGTTCTTATTTCCACCTGTCGTCCCTGGGCAGGTTCATTGATTGATTGTATTTAAATGACCTTAGCTATCATCTATAAAATAAAAAAATTATAAAACAAAACTCATTTTTGTTAATACCACCTTGGCCTCCACACTTTAGGAAAGGAGGTCTAAACTACACATACAAAATGATTTTTCTAGATAAGTTGTTTCTTGCAATGGACAGTCTGCCAAAGACTTTGCAATTTGATAAATTTCACCACCTCAAATTGTGATTTTGATTTAATTGCAACATATTGTGCAGCCCCAGTATCTCCTATTTTAGTAGGTTACCTGTATCACAGCTGCTCCTGTAAATCAAATTAGATGAAAACACAAACTGCAGTAAATAAATTGCAAAAAGGAACACTAGTAATTCATTTGTGTCTATAATGTGTTACAGAAGTTGGAGTAGGACATTATAATTTTTTGTTAAACTTCATCCTACTCCTTTTGAGCACCAGGTCCCAAATATGTACATGGACATATCCTTGTTTTTGTTTTGTTTTTTGTTAGTGTTGTTGATTTTGTTTTACCTTGCTCAAATAAATAATAATAAATAAAATTATTAAGTTATTTAGCTATGGCTCAAATATAATCTTACAATAGAAAAATAGTTCTCCACTAGTACAACATAAAAGTACACATGATAAATACTGAAATACCCCAAAAATGATTGCTACATGTATCATATTGAACAATAACTTGATATTGTAATTATGGTGACAGGCCTAAATATGACTGTTGTTGTTGCAGACAGGCTTTTGGCGTGATGATTGACCTCCGAGCCTGGGCCGAGTACGTGGTGGAATGGGCCGCCAAAGACCCGTACGGCTTCCTCACGACGGTGATCCTCGCTCTCACACCGCTCTTCATCGCCAGCGCCCTGTTGTCCTGGAAACTGGCCAAGATGATCGAGGCGCGCGATAAGGAGCAGAAGAAGAAGCAGAAACGTCAGGAGAACATCGCAAAAGCCAAGAGGGCCAAGAGGGACTAAGACTGAGAGCCTGTGATGAGGATTATAAAGACGTACCAGAGTCCTCCCTCCTCATCAGAGACGCAGGGAGCCAGTAGGGGGCCTCAGCGAGCGCAGAGGGACGGAGCTGCCCACAGGATGCTTGCCCCATTGGGAGGGTCAGATTGGACATGTGGTCAGCTTTAAGAAGATTCACTGTCCAGCTGTTGTGACACATTGCATTCCATTGTTGGTACTGCTGTTAATGTTAATATCGTTTTGTAAGTTAATAACAACATGTTCAAAATAACTTTTAACCAATAAAACATATTTTCTTGTTATAGATTGACTTTTTTCATGTTTTTAATACAATTAATGTTTGATATAAATATAATTTGTAGCCTGAATTTAAATTGCCCAAAATGAGGACAAAGGTGTTTTGAGAATTTTGAAAATACAAATAGAAGCAGTTCTCTAGCTTGCAACGGACTATGGGCTCATGCTTTTCTTTGCGGAGTTTGCATGTTCTCCCTGCGTCTGGGTGAGTTTCCTCCACAGTAATGCAGTGGATATGAGTTGTGACAGGTTACCCCTAAAACAATGAAGGTTGGCTCAAATGCAGAGGCAGAATTTCTCAAGGAAAAAATAAATCTCAACCTTAAATTGATGGAAACATAGATAAGTTACAACCATAGACTGTATATATAAATGGACATAACTAACAATAGTCGCCGCGTTCTAGGAGGTTTGCATGCTCTTCGGCTCCTTCTGACTCCCATTGACTTACATTGGAATATTGTGGCCCCTCTTTCTGTAACTGCTGCTGGGAGTCTCATCATTTTGGTCTTAAAATGTTCGTATTAACCCGCGTTACATGATCCTGGTGTTTTTATTTTTGCTACTTTGTTTTGTCAAAAAAATCGTCGTCGTAACATAGAGCCTGTAAATTCATGAGCTTCATTTGAGTGGTGCTGAATGCTATGGGTGACGTCACACTCACTTTGTCCACATTTTTCTATACAGTTTATGGTTATAACCAAATACAAATGGTTGTCGTAATTTTGTCTAAGTTAAGAAGTTATAGCTATATTACTCAAGTATAGCTTTATTTATGATTCTTACAACAGGTAAAGCCCATGCAAACAGTAAAAATGACATTACTGTGAATCCCAGAGACCAGGGATGGGAGAGACTTTACCAAAACTATTTGATAACGCAATCACATGTTAAGACCCAATTACCACACCAAGTCATTCCCAAGACATTATTTGTCAGGTTTGCTGTGTTGACCAAAAAGCATTCAAACAAGTACTAGACTATGAAACTTAAGAGTTGAATAACATCACTGTTTAACTATGACCTCTCAGATATGAGGATGGAAACAGGCAAAGCAACATGTCAAACTATTGCTATGAAATTAAATGTAGTATTATAATTGCAGAATTTGATATCATAATTTCAAATGGAAGGCCTATATCACTCTGTGGGCAATTTACTGTTTGAAAGAAATCAACAAAACTGAAAATCCATATATATTGAACCTTATTTCCCCATGACTGGCTCCACACATTTCATATCATGTCATGTTATATCATGTTATATTATGTTATATCATGTCTTGTGGCCAGTAATTACAGAAATATTAACCGTAACATCTGCATTTTGCCAGTTTAAAAGCAAATTCAACCACAAAATTCTGCCCTGAACGCATCATATTCATGGGTTAGCCTATACGCATCATTTGAAGATCTTTCACCATTCAAAAAATATAATTTGGTTTTAAACTGTTAATCACTTTGGCAGCAGTCCCACATTTTCACCATTCAGACACTCATACCCAGGAGTGTACAGCCCACATGAGTTCATTTCTTGGAGGTGGGCATCCATGACCCGGGCTGGAAGGTGTTTGCGGTGCTGGTTGGTTCTTCGCTGATGGTCTCTTTTCCGAAGCTTGTGGCCGAAGCGTGTCCCTTAGCAACAGTCCTGGGCGTGGCCACCAGCCCCTCCTTGTACTCCTTGTCCAGTAACGCCTGGTCCCTCTCCTCCACTTCCTGCGCCTTCTGTTTGATCTGCTCTCTGTACGATATGTTTTTCATCATCTCCTGTGAGGAACACGTAAAAACCACATGCAGTCAGTATTTCAGACAATATAACACATTCAAAACATAACATGTTATAGGCCTTCGTAGTGATGGAAAGAGTCTGGAATATTTATACTCAAGTAAAAGTACAGTTACATGGTGAAATTCCATATACTGCTGCCAAATATGTACTGAAAGTAGAAAGTACACATGAAAAACTGTGTAAAACTGCATATTGTCTGAGCTCTGGCCAATCAGAGCAGCCGATGGAGTATTGTTATGTGACAAAAAGTACAGACACAGCGGTGAGTGTTTTTGGACAAATAAGACTTCACAGTAACTCAATTACAGGTTTAAAAATCGACTCAAAAATGTAATTGCACAAAAAAGCTACTAAATTACAGTAACTTGAGCATTTGTACTTAGTTTCATTTCATCTCTAGGCCTATTCAAAATAAAAGGTGCCTGACAACTTTTGTGATGGAGGATACACCACTTTCTAGTCTCAGTGAAGATGTTATTATAAAAAAGTTTGGAGTGAGCGAGAAACTTGTGACAATCGGGAGGGTGAACATGCAACTTTTCTGGAAGTCACTGAATGGATTGACAAAGCCTGGACTTCAGTGACAACTGAAACCATCCTGTGGGGATTCAGAAAGGCCTAACTGGAACTGATGCTGAGTCTGACAAGAACTACACAGAAGAGGAAGGGGGCTCTGTTTACCTTCGAAGGTCAGGGAGTTGCTCAGATGTGACACAGAGGATGAAGAATTCAGTGGATTTAGTGATTTGGAGTGAGATGGAGAGTTTGGTAAACTTGTTCTGTTCTGTTGTTTGTGCTGTAGTTATATGCTATAATCTGAAAAAATGTTCATATGTGACATTAACAGTCTGTTGTTCTCTATTCTATTGTTGTTAATAAAACGTGCCTTCAAGATGAAATTTCAGTTCTTGATCTCTGAAATAAATTTCCCCCAAAAAGTGCAACTTGTAGTCTGGTGCGACTTATATATGTTTTTTCTTCTTCATTATGCTTTTTTTGGCTGGTGCGACTTATACTCCAGAGCGATTTATAGTCCGAAAAATATGGTACCTATTACATACATACATTATATTTGTCTATAGCCTTGCCGCTCCACAGATCTGGCCTGGTGGCATTGCTTGCTCGCCTTCATGGAGATAGGTAAGTTAAATGCCATACTGTGGAACAATACGATAAATAAATCAATACAGTATATCCCCACAGAGACAAGAAAGTGACGTCCCCTCCATGAGAAAAGTTACGCTGTTACACCTTTAAAAGAGACAGAGTCAGGTAAAATGAACATTGTGCATATTTTGGTTGAAACCTGATGAACTTTGTAACTACAAAAAGGATAAAGTGCAACACGTGTTTCCTTTTATTACTTGAAATAAAATACTGTGTAATAAAACAAGTTAGGAACACTGTCACATGGCAATGGCAAGCACGCTCCACTGGAGGCTGTACTGTAAGCACACTGCATACAGCACATACATAGATTGATGCTATACCAGCTTAGACCTTAAAATAACTCCATAGACAAGTATCCTGTATGGAAACTATTTGCCTTGTTAAACTGAAGTCACTTTGTTTAAACCAAACATGGATGACATTTAACTGCTGCTCTGCTCTGCTCTGTAAATGACTGGACGGGTTTCAGGAACATCTAAGTGTCCCTGAATTTAAAAATGGGGAATTTAGGAGGGAGCTAATGTTTACTTGACTGATCCCGGCTCACTGAAGCCTGTTTAAAATGTGGTGCTTGGAGGAGATGGGCGAAGCATACGTGACAGAAGGTATTCTCAACATGAACTCTTTCCAACTCCACAGAGAAGGGCCAGTCTCTCCAACTCTCTCAGCCCAACAGCCCAGTGAAAGCAGAACACAGAGCAGCCGAGGAGCAGCTCCCCAGTAGAGCTGGTGTATGTGTCCGGTCTATGTGGTCAGTGATGTTCAGCTCTCACGCGCTCCCAGGCCCAAACCAGGAGCAGGTCTGTGCATAATGCGGCTGCGCTCTGGCACTACTGACGGACTGGAAAAGAGAGGGGAGAGCTGTGGCCAAAAGGGCCGCTTTGGGGACAGAGACAAACATACTGAGCTGCTTTTCCAGCCTGTTAATGACAGGATTTAATCCAATCAATTTATGTCGGTTTGGAGCGCGAAGAGAGGAGCGTGACAAGGGCCGGGGTAATGTGCTGGGAGTGAGGCCCTGGCCACATCAACACTGTCCAGCTGTCGATGGCAGCTATTGGGCAGACGCGAGGCAGAAAATTGGAATAGAATGTTCTGGCAGCGGAGGCCGGGGATGGCATTGGCCACTGGCACAGAGCGGGCACAGACAGAGAGAGGAGAGCTCTGCCCGACCACGGCCTTCCAAGGGATTTCCTATAGGCCCACATTTCCTCCGCCAAATAATTTCCAGCATTCTCACATTTAAAGAGCAATAAACCCTGTGAGAGGTGCACCAGGGGAATAACTGCACAGCACTGCCATTCTCATCACAACCACTGCCAGAGACGAACAAGCCTCAGCTGTAGACATAGGGTGGGTACAGAGAGGAGTAAGACTACAGACGCACTGATGTAGGGCTGTCAAGTATCGTAAATCATTTGAGCAAGTTTTGGAAGTAAAAAGGCACATTCACAGGACAGGAATTACCCTTTCATGAATCACTTTAGAATGATCTTTAACTGCATCAGAACAACTATACAAGGACATAGACTAGTATACGCCCAGATATAAGACCATAATATAAGAGAAAGTATTATGATTTAAAGGGCCCATCTCATGCAAAATCAACTTTTCAGAGCTTTCGACCTTCTAAGAATGATGTGTGGGCCTTGTATATGTAGCCAAAGTGTTTTTTTGATTTGGTGTTTTTTTTTTTAACAAATTGCAACATATTTCTGCCACCCTCCAACGTGACAACGAACTAAAACCTGCTACAACGATGATGCAGCAGCTACACCTATGATGCGTTTGACGTAGCAGAAAGTGCTTCACACCTGCCCCCCTCCCCTGCTCCACTGCCTCTGCCCCGCCTTCCCACATGAACACCTAAATAAAAGCGACAGTATAAGCAAATTTTTCTACACTGCACTGTACACGATATAATAAGTTTATCTACTAGTGTTTATTAATACTTTACCAATCAGTAATGTTCAGCTGATGCCGACGCGGTGCTTGCGCTTCGTGCACCTCAAAGTCCTCGTCCGATTCCGGGTCCAACACATGCGGCTGAACGTGCTGTATCGCCATGATGAATAAAAGTTTATTCCTGCCGCTATCACGTCTGTCTCCCCCTCCCTCCCTGAGATGGGCGGAGGAAGGGCGGCTCACTCAGAGCCTACGTCACGTTTGGAGGGTGGAGCCTGTGCTTTCTGAGGACGGGCGGGGGGATGAGCGATAGCTGGTCTTTCATAGTTCCTGGTCTGTGACGCCTCCAAGAAATCAGTAAGATTTCATAACTATTGTGTAATGGATGTTCCAAAACCCAAATTGTGCTTGTATATGTGCAGAGGATACAATGTGGAAAGAGTTATTTTGCATTAGATGGGCCCTTCAATGTTGAAAATCACATTCTATTGAGGGTTTTTTATAATCATCATAGTATTGGATTCCATATTGAGTATCGAGTCTATTCCTTAGTATTAAAATCGAGAAAACACAGACACTACCGCAGACGTGCTGGTGCAGAGAGAGCAGAGTAGGATGTGATGTCAGGGAGGCCTGTGTCTGCTCAGTCTCGCATCACTTCAACCACTGTTTATTTTAACACCTGTCCCGAAAGTTCCTGCATCCAGCTCCAAACCCACAGATGAGACGAATCAAAGGCGCTTTCTCTCCCCGTGTCTGCCCCCCTTCCTCGCTCGCCCCGGTCCCTAGCGTACACACAGCGGCGTCAGAGCAGCGGGGAGGCGCGGGGAGATTTGGGGAGACGTACCTCTTCGGATGGGGGCTCCTTCCGTCTGCCTCGAATCCACGCTGTAGGAGGAGCAGAGAAAACAGTGAGAAGAGCACAAACAAAAAGCTGCTGTCATGTTTAAAGAGTACAGCTAGAATCTCCCAGTGTCATTACAGTGAAGGGAGCACCCACCATCTCGGCCCAGTAGGGAGTCATACAGGGTTTGTTTTAGCTCGCTTGGAAAACTATATCCAGCTAGAAGACAGGTAGGACAGAGATATTTTAAGCTATAGCTCGTCTATACTTTGACCTGATTTAAAGTGTAAATTACTATATCATTCATTCTGCTTTTTTGGAGTATTAATTAATCATTATTAATCATTACATTTATTATATTAGCACCTTTCAAGACACCCAAAGCGCTTTACAGATCATTCTTCATTCACTCCACACTTGATGATATTAAGCCACAGCTGCCCTGGGACAGACTGACAGAAGCGAGGCTGCCACAATCTGCACCACCGGCTCCTCCAAACATGACCAACACTCACACACACCACTTTCTAACTAGGCAAAGTAGGTGTAGTGTCTTGCCTAAGGACTAGGAGTGTAAGAAAAAACTGATTCATTGATCTGTATCGTGATACTTCATTGCACAATTCTCAAATCGATTCAAAATGCACCTGAATCGATTTCTTAAATAATATTTTTCACAAAGACTCTATTTACATTCACTGTTCTGATGATTTAAATGCTTTTATAAATTATCTTTCATACAAGTGTGTTCTCGTGAAGGTGCAGTTGACTGTATTATTAGAAGTAATTATGGGTAAATCGCAATATATCGTCCGATGTTTTAGTATTGACATATATCAAACTGTGACATGTATATCATGATATGTATTGTATCGTCAGACTCAAGGCAATGCACAGCCCTATTAAGTACACAACGACAGTTTTTGCCACTGGCGCTCCACTGTGGCATCTGGAATTTCCATTGGTCTTCCATCCAAGTACTAACCAGACCCGGCCTTGCTTAGCTTCTGAGGTCTGACGAGGTTTTGACAAGCTGGTATGGCCACAATATCAATAAGACAACTATGGCAAACCTGTAGAAAACTAATCTTTTTGTATTGAAACTTAAAAACAGGGTATTTGACGTCTATGGGGCATTAACTGTGAACACTGCTATTTAGATCACCATATTGCAATGTTTTATTGTTTTGAAAATGCTGTATTCGCAAAAGCAACGTATTAACGTGTTTTATAAGTTTCATTATTGTTTTTGATGCTCTGAGTCTCCCCCTTCAGAGCTCTATCGCAACACCACCAGCGTGCTTTCTGCTAATGAAACGACTGCACATTGCACCAGGTTTGTGAAGTTGTAGTGTATTGATTTGTATCATGCTTTTGTTATGAAGCGATGTCGTTTGGGAGCATGGGTGACGTAGGCTTGTGGGCTGAGCAATGGACTGATTGGGGATATATATCGATACAGCAGCCCATAAAATATCAATACTGTTTATCGATACAGAAAGAACAAAAAAGTGTCTGTTTGCTGCAGGTGTTCCAATCAGTAGGAGCAGGTTGTTTTTTGTTTATGTATTTTCTTTATTTTCTTATATTAGTGTGCACATTTGAATGTTTTTTTTTTTTTTTTTTGCCTGTGCCATGCCTCCAATCGACTCCAGCCTGCTGTTGGTTGATGTGTTTTACTTGAAGGCCACGCCCATGTTCTGTTTTAATTAAGCCCTGATGAAGACCAGTTAAGGTCGAAACATGTTGGCTTTGGCCATTCAAATAAAGGCCTTTTAACTATATTTTTCCTCATGCAATTTTTTACTTTTTCTACTTGTTTGGAGTGCCTGGAATCCGTTGTGTTTGAGTACTGTATTTCTGTATCGATATTTCTATATTTTTGCACAATCCTACTAATGATAATGATGATGTTTACTCAAGCATGTGTGAATGAAACAAAACACAACTCCAGGTAAAAGGATGTAACAACATTATAACACAACTTAAAGCTCATACGAGTCAGTTTTGAGTAGTAAAAGACCTTCAAGAGATTTTAACTATCTTGATCTGACCTTTGGAGTTTAGTTAAAAGTTTCATTCAGTTTTTGATGCTCTGAGTCTCCCTCTTCAGAAATGACTGCACATTGCATCAGGTTTGTGAAGTGGTGGCGTATTGATTTGTATCACGCGTTTGTTACGGAGAATCGGCGTGTAGGAGCATGGGTGACGTCAACTTCTGGGAGGAGCATTGGACAGACTGATAACAGCTAACTGCAAGGAAGGTTAAAACAGATCCTGGGTGAGATCACTATATTACTGAAACATGCATGGATGACAATTAAAACCTCTTCAGGCATGTTTTTGATGATTAGAACATGGCAGAAAGCTAAAAAGAAACATTATACCCCCTCTTTAAATGAGAAAGCTTAATGGGAATAACATCTGTGAAGCTTTATCAATTTTACTACCACTGAACAAGGCTAAATTTGATCTCAAACTAAACAATTACAGCACACTTTGAGAGCCACAAGTTGGAATAGCTTTTGGCACTCAAGTTCTTTATTGATTTGGGACGTTTTTAGCTTTGAATTGACTTTTTAATTGGTCAAAAATACATTATTGTACTATATACTTCAAATTATCTATCAAGAAAATTGCCACTGAATTAGAAATAAATAATAATTGGTCTACAGTTTCTGGTAAATGACATAATTAAACTACTCATGATTCATTTTTTTTCTGAAGCGATTCATACTAACATTGCACTCTTTTTTGCAGTGCATCTCTCCAGTTAAAGTCTGTGTGTGCTCCACCTGTCATCTCCGCTCCTCTCTGAGTTTTGGCTGAGCGCTGTATCGGGGAGCAGGTTAAAGGCATCCAGGAACACCGCACCAGAGCCAGAGATCTCAGCTAACTCCTCCTGCAGTGAGCGCGGGGAAGTGGGGCCTGCTTTTATCCCGCTCTGATTTGCATCCTGATGAAAATGCATGAGGGGCTGAGGCTTTAAGGTGGATAGAGCCAGACTGAGACACAGGGAACAGTTTGTATCTGCTTGTAAGAAATCACATACCTGTTTATATTGCACGCTCGTGTAACAGCGGCAGAAGGCGTCTTTGATAAAACCAGGCGTGTGCTCATCCCTGCCCCCCATAGCAGAATATGAAAAATAACATGGATTAGTATAGGCCCTGATAGATGCACTGTGAATATGTAATGCCGTTTTACTTAAGGAACACTTGATGGGCTCTGCTGTCTGTCTTTCATGTGAAGAGTCCCATTTCTTACCATTTTAACATCAAACTGAACCGGAAAGAAAGGACCCATATTGCACAGTTTTGTTATTATGCTGTTTCCTCGTCCAAAACATACCTGGAGTTTTGTTGTGTTTTGTTTCATTCACACGTGTTTGAGTAACCCCTTCACAGTATTTGTATTTTAGCACAGTATTATTTTGCATGTGGTAATACAGGAAGTGCTCCATTGTGTTTTTAATCTCCATACACCTTCAGTAGATTTGGATGATTTCAGACCTTGAAGTGTCAATCTCCACTTAAAGGAACAGTTTGGAATTTTGGACATAGGGCCTCATTTCCTAGTGAGCCAGAGTGTTGGAGACGTGTGGAGACACTTTTTTAAATATTCCATCCAGTCCTTGTATTTGCAGAGGTCGCTGGTGTTAGGCTAGTGCATGTCAATGGCCATAGTTATCCTGCCACTAAAAACAGTCTTACCCACAAAAAAAAAACACTCGAGGCAAATCTATTATTACACCAGATTGTCAGTGTAAATGTCTGTGTTGATAGAATAATGTTTGAAATAAAACTAACCTTGCATCGCATGAATCGTTGCATGTTGAGGGACTATTTTCTCATATATCAGTCCGCCGCCGCCAAACTTTTTAACTGGAAGTACAAACTCGCTGCTGCTGCTCAGTTTGACATAAATCCTTACAAATGTACAACTGTAGATTGGTTTTATTTCAAAACGATATTATATCGATATTTCAATACTACTAATGAGACATGTGTGAATGAAACGCAACACAACTCCAGGTATGAGGATGTAACAACATTTTAACACAACTTAAAGCTCGTAAGAGTCAGTTTTGAGTAATACAGGACCTCCAAGAGACTTTAAATATTTTGATCTGACCTTTAGAGTTTGGTTAAACCTTCAGTAATCAGCTAAATTTGGATAAGCCTTTATTTGTCCCACAATAGGGAAATTACAGAACTGCAACGCAAATGTCAAAAACAGCAGGAGAATAAACACGTAATCAAAATCAAGATAAATAACTATTAAAACATTTAACAACAAACACAAAATCTAACACAACACTGTACCAACAAATGTAAACTATAATGTAAGGGCTGTGTTGGGAAAAGCACTTAGTTACAGAATACTAAATACCTGCATTAATATGTATTGTGACACATGGTTCAGTCAGAGCGCTTGGAACATTCTTACATCGAACTTCATTTTATTCTAATGCCACTCCAACCGGCTCGTACAGCTCCGCCCAAACAGTGAAAGTAAACAGGACAACATTCATACCATACTTCATTCATAGAACAGTACAACAACTCACCCTTATTTAACAGATACTACTCCCTACAACAGTACAACAACTCACCCTTATTTAACAGATAAGCCTGTCAATCATCATTTTTGCACGGTTTTCCTTGTGACCTCTTGTATATAACTGTGACATACTGTATTTATATTACTATGTTTCTGTTTTTTCCTTATTTGACACCAGTCTCTTGCTATTTTTATTGCTACTTATTGTACAATTTGTCATTACCAATTTTTGTTATTGTAATATACTGTGATGTGTGACAGAGCTGCTCCATTGTGGAAAAAAAATCATTATCACGATTATTTTGGTCACTGTTGAAATCAAGGTTATTCAAATTGATTATTTTTTAGTTACACAATGTATTTTATTTAGCATTTCTCTCTAAAAAAAAACAAAAAAAAACACTTTGTTACTGATAATTTACACAAAAGTTTCAAATTTAAAATAAATTCAGGCTACAAATCTGTACCTTAGAGCAGTTTTGCGACATATAAAACATAAAATGAATAAAATATACTTTATTTATATGAGAAAAACATAAATGTATCCAAAATAAACTATATATCCAGCTGTTCTACAATCTCTCTATATAAAAAATTAAATAAATATACTTATTTATGTAAAAAAAAAATAAATAAATCCCATAATAAACTTTTTTAAGTAATTTCCCTTGTGGATCAATAAAATAGTTTCACTGTTTGTTGTTCATTTCTTATCACTCATTGGAGAAAATCAGACATGCACTTACCACAAGAGGTGCTTTCTTTTTTTCTCACAAATTCTGTGCAGTTTAAAGCCTAAATTTTGTGATCATGTACCACCATGTGTGCCTGTGATTTTAGAAACGTAACTATTCTGAATACCACCAAATGAAAAAGTAACTGTACCAGAATATTATAATATTTCAAAATTTGAGTTCCACATATTTTCGTAACATGTTCTCAGTCACTCCCAAACACTGACGATGGCATTGTGCCCTTGAACATGACACTTGCCTGTATGAATCTCTGTCATTGTGCGTTGGTGGTTAGTGCAGAATGGCAGCCATGTTTCTGTCCCAGGGCAACTGTGGCTCTATAAAGTAGGAGTGACTATGGACTGAATAAAGGCCTGTATAGTTCATATCAACTTATTGTTTAAGGAATGATAAATGGAACTATATATTTCGGGGGTAAATATTTATCATATGTAAATTTTCTTTGTACTAATGGAAAGATTTGTGTTCATTTTTTCTTTAAATATTATTTGAGTTGTAGTAGTAAGGATACTGATTTCAAAAAGGGTTTATTGGGAGAAAAAAATAGTTTCAATATTACTGTTTTATGTGAAATTTTCTTTATCAATATGTCATGCTTCAAAAACTGTGACCGGCCCCAATACAGTTGAGTGTAAAATCTGCTATATATAAATGTATTACCTATTCCATTCATATTTGCCTTTGTCTTTATATTTCACATCTTTACTCTGTTTCAAAAGTCGAGAGGCTAGCACACTTTTGATGTATAAATGTAACATGTCATTGATTTCAGTGCAAGAATACAACTGTCCGTGGCCTTTAGACCCTATAGAGAGTCGCTTGATACTCTGAACAGAAGCGTAAAATAGAGCTGGAACATGCACAGACCCTGATGTTATATAATATCAAAAGACTTACATTTTCACAGTGGGAATTTACGATAAATCAAATAGAAAAAAATCACCGTTATTCATTTTTTAGGGTAAATATTCTAAAATAAAATGGTAAAAATAATTCAATAATTTTCTGAGAGGCTGTTTACAACACAGTAAACCTAACCGAAACTAAAACCGGTATTGAAATTAAATGCTTTTTAAAGTTTTCATACGGAAAATGAGGGCCTGTTCACACGAGAACACTTGCAGGTAAAAACAACAAAATATTTTATCAGAAGTGCCTTTTGTTTTAGACGGTGATGGCGTTTTTGGGGCAAAAAACTGAAACCACCCTCCAGAGTGGAACAGTTGAAAACACTCCGCTGTAGCGTTTCCGTCTACACTGCCCAAGACACAAAACTCTGGTCAGATCTGCTCATGTCGCGTACGCGTTTATATCACATACATCACCACCGAGCCGCCAGGCATGCACACCCAATCGAATTCCACACACTTTTGCGTCCCCATATACATGCAGATTTCCTCCTGAAAACACTCATCTAAACACAGAATAAAATGAGAAATGTTTATAGAATGAAACAAAACATTTTAATTTTGCTCAAATACATACCTATGAGTAGTAAAATCAGACAAACTTTTTTCAATGGTCTCTTATTTTTTTCCAGAGCTGTATATCAGTACTAGTTTAATATGATATGTGTTGAAAAATACATTATATTGTTTTTAATAAAAGTGTTTAGAAAACTATCATTGTGGTACTGAAATCTGTATTGAGTGCTTTATATCGAAATAGGCCTAGAGCAGGGGTGTCCAAACTTTTTTCATCAAGGGTCACATATCTAAACACAGACAAAGCAGAGGTCTGATCGAGGGCTGTAGACTGGTGCTCAAAACAGTGAATAATTGAAATATGTGCATGTTTAACACGTTAGAATGACCCATCAGTCTTTATTCATATTAAGATTCTTAAAACCACACATTAAATATTAAATATTAGCTTTATCAATGTAGATTTTCAAAAAATTTGTAGTAAAAAGTTATTTTTTAATTGATGCAAGGTCATTTGGGCCAATTCACCTGGAAGCCTGAGGGCCAAGAAAAATTAGTTTGAGGGCCGCGTTTGGCCCATGGACCATTGTTTGTACATGCCTGGGCTAGAGTTTCATCATGACATCGCTAATCACACCAAGAGCTTGACTATGATAATACCATGATAAGTGCATATTAACCTCTTTTCAGTGAGGGCCGTATATAAAAACCCAGACGAACCAGAGGGCCAGTCGAGGGTCATAGAGGGTCACATGTCTGATTTAAAGTAGAGATGCTGTGATGCGCACTTACCATCCCACTCTATGGGAATGCTTCCTTCCATGTACTCAAATTCTGAAGGATTTGCTGCTTCCACCATTCGCTTGGCTCGTACCGCCCTCCCTGAGAAAAAAGAAACAAACAAAAAAGCCGAGAAAGACAGTGAGTAAAAAGTGCTTGACAACAGTCCGGACACAGAGGAGCACAAACAAATAGGCCATCCCAGACACAACGCTTCGCCATCGTCATGACAGCGCCGTGACAGGACGCTCGTGATTACCTCGTGGCCTCGGGGCCCTTCTCCTCACATCTCCGCTGAGTGGCTCCAAATCTGGGCTAAGCCTTTATGCAAATGAGCCTATCCGTCTAACCCGACCAACCGACGACCCCTCCCTTTCCTTCCATGCCTGACCGTTTCGACCAATCAGGACGCGGCGGCTAACAATGCCCTCCAAAATCAACATCAAGCTGAGCGGGAGACAAAAGAGGTCAGATATCACAGAGAACAGGAGAGCCACGAGACGCCCAGAATATTAAGCGCTCCTCTCCCTATCTGTATACAGCACGGTGCTCGCTAGCAGCCAAGGCCGATGCCAATTATTTCTACCCAATCTGCTGATTAAACAAGTTTGGCTGGCACACAGTGGCATGAAGACGGAGGTATGAGGAGGAGGTGTAGTAGACGCACAATAATAGAAAAGAATGTGACAGACTTCCCTGAAAAATGTAGCTCTAATAAAAACGGGACAGAGAGGGAGGGAGAGCGGGAGGGAGAAGGCTAGTTTCATGTCATGCTGTGATTTATAGTTTTTTTGGAAAAGTCGGTTTAATTTCTCAAATAGTTTTAAGAAGACGGATTTTGTTGACATTTTATACCCCTCTTTGTGTTTGGATCAGTGGCACTTAGAGGCTTGTGTAGAGGTCAGGATAACATCGGGCTGTCAAAAGTATTGATCAAATACTAATCGATTCTAATACTGGTATGGAATAGATACTCAACTGTGCAAGTACAATTCAAAAAGTCACATTCACAGGACAGAAACGAACCTTTCCCGAATAGTTTTAGAATGATCTTGAGCTGTATCAGAACTATTATAAGAGCACATTTGGATCTTACGACTACATGGTAAAATTCTATGATTTAATGCTGAAAATCACTTTCTATTGTCTAAATAAAGTGGGGGTTTTTTTGTTTGTTTTTTTAATTATCATTGTGTTTTTGTAATCTGTACTGAGTCTTGAAATCGAGTATGAATTTTAGTATTGCGACGACACCAGTCATTAGGTTTGGGTCTCATTCCGAAGTTACTGATACGATACATACCTCGATACAGTGAGTTTACGATTCGATATGATTCAATACGATATATTTCAAATTGATTCGATGCAGTTCAATAAAAAAATAAAGGCTAAATGATGACTGTGGTACTAAAAGTCTTTGTTAAACCACTTCTTGTGCAAAGTTCATATGAAACGCAAACATTTTAATCATCAAAACAGTGAAAATGTCAAATGTATCGCATAAACGAATTTCCTTCCTCTAGACAAGCAATAAAACTGTAGCGCTGTAACAAAATAATTTAGTAAAATACCAAAAAATGGCGATATGTCTATACAGCAGCCCATGATAATGATACTGTATCATCACATTAAACGATACGATATGTTGATATTTCAATATTTTTGCACACTCCTACTACTCATACGTCATCGGTACCTTTCAGTATCCTCATGTTAAACCAATTGTAGGTTAATAATATTTAATAGAGGTGTGGGGCAGGTAAAGTGTATAGTGTTAAAATGCAGATGTTTCCTGTGATATTGTGATTTCTAGGGTCTTGTCACTAATAAAAATGTTCAGGTTAAAGGTTTGTAAATTTACCTTAGGGATATTTTATTTTATTTATCTAAGAGTATGCCATCATCACATTTTAGAACCTAAAAACCACCAATGGAGAGTTAAGATAAAAACTTGTACTTATTTTTTAACATTCTTTAGACTAATGTACTTTATCTCTATGGATATTTTGCTCGACTGCCAGAAAAATGGTGCATTTCCATGGTAACAATCATTTTTATGTCTCATCTCGACTTCTTTTTCCACCAAATTGAGCCCAGAAAACCATTTGATCACAAGGCATCTTAAAGATGCTTAATTTCTGTCCAGTCTAAAATTACAACAGGGAAAAGGTCAATCCACATAGCATGAACCTAGTTTAATTAAAGGCACTACTGTATATATCCTACATGATTTTTACTGCTTGAAGATGTGAAATGTGTTTGCAGTGGTCCAAACTTTCACCGGAATGAGTTAATACAATTTTTTTTTGCTTATTAACTCATATATATAGACCAGAGTGCAACAACTAGCATGCTAATAGTACATATCAGCCTTACTACATGGTTCGTGGAAGATAACATACTACTTAGATGCAGATAGTAGTGGTCTCATTTTGACTCTAAGAGCTGCTTTTACAATATAGCTGTACAGAGGCAAGACAAATTTGACTGTATTACATGAGAAAATATTTTAAAAAATGGGTACAGCCCCTTTAAGACCTAAATCCAGCTTTCTCCACTGTCCTTTGCGTTTCTTAGCTCCTTATTGCAGGTACAGCTGGATGTCCACCCATCGCTCTTGTCCCTGTGAGAAATGAGGCAGGGAGGCTGGAGGTAGGGGAGAGAGAGAGAGAGTGATGATGCATGGCAAACGTGGCGCGGAGGAGAGGAATGGGAGGGCAAGGAAAACAACACGCTCCAAAACACAGACAATCTGTCAGGATTCCATCAGCGCGCTCTCCGCAGCTCACTGGACACGGACAAATGGAGCCAACCACCTCCGTGCGCCGCGCAGACGGATGGGCCTAATGTTTACCTCGGACAGAGCAGATCGCTACAGACCAGAGGAGAGAGTGATGGAGCGATGGAGCAGGAGAAGAAGGAGAAGGAGCTGTGCTGGAGTCTCCAAGTTCTGCTGGAGTAAGAGGGTTAAAGGTCCTATATTACCTAAAATTGACTCTTGTGAGCATTAAACCATGTTAGAATGCTCATACCTCTTCAAAAACATACCTGGATTTGTGTTTTCTTTCATTCACACATGTCTGAGTAACCCTTTATTATTACTGTTTACATCTCCAAAGCTCAAAATGCTCTGTTCCACCTTGTGATGTCATGAAGTGATAGTTTTCAAGTTAATACCTCAAGTTTCAACTTTCGTTTAGTGGGGATTGGACATTCCAGGGTTGAATTTACATCAAGGAACCACTCACTCTCAAACACACATTCAAACACAGTGTACACAGACACTGAGAGAAAGGTGAGTTAAGTGTCTTGCCCAAAGACACAACGACACAACGACAGTATTCATCTGTGAGAGCTGGAGTTTCACCGCCAACCTGTGGATATAATGCTCTACCAATGATATATAGACTTAGACAAACTTTATTGAATCACAAGGGAAATTATTTGGACGCTGTAGCTCACAAATCACAATATAATATAATAACAAAGAGTAAAGAATATAAATGATAATAATAAATTCTAAAAAATAAATAAAGTAGCAAAAAAGATAGCAAGAGACAGGTGTCAAATAGGGCTGGGTATCATTAAGAAGTTGCCAATATGATACATGCCTCGATACATAGGCTACGATACGATACATACCACAATACATAGGCTATGATACGATATATACCCCAATACATAGACTACGGTACGATACATACATCGATACATAGACTACGATACGATACATACGTCGATACATAGGTTACGATATGATACATACCGCGAAACATAGGCTACGATATGATACATAACTCGATACAAAGACCACGATACGATACATACCTTGATACATAGGCTACGATACGATACATACCCCGATACATCGGCTACGATATGATACATACCTCGATACATAGACTACGATACGATACATAACTCGATACATAGGCTACGATATGATACATACCTCGATACACTGTACTTTCGGTTTGATATGATATATTTCAAATTGATTCGATACAGTTCAATAAAAAATAAAGTCTAAATCATTGCTGTCATACTAAAAGTCTTTGTTAAACCACTTCTTGTGCAAAGTGAATATGAAAAATGCCCATTTTAATCATCAAAACATTTGAAAATATCAAATAAACAAGGTTCCTTCCTCTAAACAAACAACAAAACTGTAGCACTGTAACAAAATAACTTAGTAAAATACACCAAAAACATACGCTTGGCGATATATCGATACAGCAGCCCACGATATCGATACTGTATCATCACATTAAACGATGCGATATGTCGGTATTTCAATATTTTTGCACATCCCTAGTGTCAAATGAGGCGTAATTGTATAAATGTATACGTACGTGTCAGAATAAAATAGAAAAATAAGTAAAATATAAAATCTCAGCTTTGTACAAGAGGTCATAGGTCATTTTAATGTCGAGAGCGGGACTGGAACCACCAACCTTCTGATCAGTGTACAGTACAATCACTACCAACTCATAACTATCATTCATTATTATTATGCTGCCCTCTTTTTTAAAAACATAAAACATATAGTAGCTTATATTGTAGCCACAGTCAGCTGTCAGTAGCAAAAACAGACAATCCTCATGATCTTTGCGTTTATTTCTGCTGTATATTCCTTTTTCTTTCTCGAGGATTTCTCAGAAGGCGTATTACAGGCAGAACAGCTCGCGCATATAAGCTCGCTTCCACGGCTAACGCTAACACGGTATACATTTAACGGGGGATGTTAATTATGCACAGATCTCCGCATTAGCCGTGGGTGTGGGTGGCAGCGGAATGGCACCCCAGTAGCGATGCCTAATGGTGAACTAACATGCGTAAAGCCAGGCGCCCACTTTTGCCTGTGCTTCTATGGGGGGGCGTTCGGTAACATCCCCCCAGAACACGGCGTCCCCTCTCTGCAGCATGACTAACGCCCATCCACCGCGCGGTCGGATTTGAATAACAAATACAGAATGTACATATATTTATGAAAAGCAGGGCTGATCCTCCTAGCGCGTGCACATGGGGAGGTGGGATGGTGCTCTCAGAGGGGTGAATATCTCCTGGTAATTGCTGATCTAGGACAAAGAAAAGGCCGGGGT